TATTATTTGTTAAATTATCCGATATCATTTCAAATTTTTTAAACAACAACGTATATAGTCTTAAAACAAAATTCAATACAAAATGAAATTGTTTACTAATCGTTTCTCCAGATCTAGCTACTTGACGTTTTATAGCCATATTTTTCATATGATGGGCAATGATTTGGAGGAAGCTAATAACCAATTCTTTTATTGACATATGTTTAGATGCTTGTAATCCCCATTCTATTTGAAGTAAATGACATAATTTTACAAAAGCTCTCTTATCCATTTTAATATTATCTACACAATATCTATCGCTCTAAAAAACTATTGCATTTAAATTTAACTTTTTAATATGTAACCTATCATAAGATGTTTCACCATAAGATAGTTTACATCCTTTTCTACAGTTCATATCAAATAAAGTCACAGCAACAAAATATAACATATACAACAAAGTCTATATCTAGTTCAAATGCATTATAAACAATGTAACCAATTGCATCTTCATTCTTTGTGATAAACAAGTCATAACTATTTAGAAGATAGAATCTCATTAAAATTGAAAACATAATTGGAAGGCAAATCTTTGCTTATAGTACATGGAATCTATCAAACATCAAAAAAGAAAATATGAATCATCAACAAAATATTTGTAGATGAAGGAGCTAAAACTAAAAAGAATAACACATTTGATATATCAATATAATTTCAATCCAGATCTAAATGACATCTAAAAAGATGAAAAAAGAAAAAAAAAAGACTGGAATGCAACAAATTACGTAAAATAGATAATTAGGTATTAAATAGTATATACATTGTTTATTAAAAAAAATACAGATAAATTTAACAAGATGAAGATTAAATGACGGATGTTGAAGCTGAAGTTAGTTCAAACAAAAAAATACTTGCTTTGAGCTCTGATATGTTGAAATAAAAATTAAAAAAGTGTGTTTGGTTATTAAAATATGATAAAAATGTCTATTAAGGTGTTTCATATATAGAAACACCTTATTTGATGTATTAAATATAGGTTCTTTTGAATTTGATTAGGCATTACAGCATTTATCATATCAGAATATAATGTTTGAAAGGGAGAACAAAATTTTAATATGTGACAATTATGATGTTTTAATGAAGAAATGCCTTAATTGAGAGGGAAAGTTAAATTTTAATATGCAGCAATTACAGTGTTTCAAGAAAGAAATGCCCAATTGATAATCAGTTAAGGCATTTTCCCAATGAAATACCCTAATAGCGATTTGAAGCTTTATCAAACTGTGATTGATAATCAATCATGTCAGAACATGATCTTTGAAAGGAAAAACAAAACCTTAATCTGTGATAATTACAATGTTTCAAGGAAAAAATGCCTTAATTGATAATCAATTAAGGTGTTTTTGCAACGAAACACCCTAATAGCCACTCATATCATAAACGTGTAGGGCACCAAATAAGACGTATGTACCACAAAAATGCCATTATAGAAGCTTAATATAGGATACATTGAAAAACTAAAAAATTGTATTAATTATGGTGTCTTATTTAAAAGAAACATTGTAATTGAATTTAAAAAAAAAGTTAAAACTGAGTTCCAAATTTTGCTTTTCAAAAGGGTAATATATATGTGACAAATTTTGTTATTTAGGTCAAATTTCAAAATAAGACAATTCCCCCTCTCCCCGGAATCCTAAAATAGGAGAGATTAGTTTCTAATTTTGGGACTTTGGGTACTGTTAAGAATTTGACATTTTTTCTCGTAATCGAATTATCCTGAACCAAATATAAGAAACAAATACCCACTATCAAGATTTTAGAGAAAATTTTGTGGATTTCCCCTAATCAAACGCATTCTTAATGTTTGTTAGCTAAAAAAAGATTAAGATCAAATTTGTTGTTATATTGTGATTGATCAAAATTAAATTTGGTGTTATACTTTAATTTTATTAAAAGTTTTGTCACTATAGTTTTAATTATGCTCATTTTTTAATAAAAAATAACAAAAGTTGTTTTTAGTAACTAGAATCTCAAAAAAAATTAAGCTAGTGTTTATAGTAATATTATTAATAAAAAGTTTTGATCTTAATCATTCTAATATGTTTATAGTTGAGTGATTATCTTGTCAAACAAAATTTAAATCTATAGGGAGATTAGAATGTTAATGCAATAAGATAAATATTAAAATATTCGATTGTTTGAATATTAGAATTAAAAACTCATAAATAAATTCATATTTATTATTTTCATATCAGTTATGGGTAGTCAATTGGAATTCTAGGACAAAATATACTTACTCTGTTTAATAGGAAAATAAGAAAAAAATTTTAATTTAATAATTAAATTACATAATAATATGTTTTATTTAATTTGTAATTTACGTATTAAATTATAAATTTTTTCCTTCTTGCTTTTTTCTCGCCAAACAAAATTTGAACAATTGCAAAGTTGAAGTTTTAATGTGAAGGTCCAATAACTTTGAATTGAAGAGGTGGGAAAAGTAGTGGCATTCCCATATCAGACTGTCGCTTATACAAGGACCTTTCCAAAACAATGACTCGTGTCTTCTTGTCTTCTTGGACCATCTTTGAATTTGTTGGCTCTTCAGTTCAGGAAAAGCTTCTAATTGTCTTTTTGTTGTTATTATTTTTTAAGAGGTGACAAATAAAAAATATTAATTATATTAAATATTATTTTTATATAAAAATTTATTTAATCAAATCAAATCAATATATCAATCAATTAGTCAACATATAATTGAATAAATTTAACAAAAAATTAAACCAAACTCATACATTAAATCACTTATTTAAGTTAAAATCAAGATTAAACATTAATCTCTAAAATAATTTTTGATATCATTTTTAATATTATCACGATAATTTAATCACCAAAGTTATCTTATCACTTATAATTTGGAATAACCTTTTTTTTAAGAATAATTAATTCTTAATAATTAAATATTATTATATTTGATATTCTTAAAAATCAAACATTATTTTGTTTGAAAGTATCAAAATAATCATACACATTATAATAATTACATAAATTAATAATTTCAATGCTATTTAAAGATAATAATTTATATATAAAATATTAGTAATATTTTATTTACTTCTTAACAAATATAATTAAATTATTAAATTAAATATCTATATTTATTGATAATAAGTTAATTTTTATAATATAAATTATGTAAAAAATATATTTGAGTTAGAAAATAAATCAATATGTTAAAAATAAAAAATTATATTATATAAATAAATTTTAAAAAATTAAAAAAAATCACACAAAATATTTTGAATTTGTTACAATAAATATTAGTTTGAAAAAATAAAAAATAATATAAAATTATAACAATTAATGTAAAAAAAATTTAATTCACATATTAAATGAATATTATTGACTTTTATTAGTTTTATGTACCACTTGACCACGGTAATAAAAGTTTCTTATTATTTTAGATAAAAATTAAATTATCTTCTAATGTAGCGATTTAATCACTTTCAATAATTTAAGATTATCGTCACATAAAATCATTAAGTGATTATGAAATATGATAATTTAATTATCATACATAAATCACCATAATTTTTTTTAATGATCATCCTATACCAAATACTATCTAAGTCAATATGAGTTGAAACTCACTTAACAAAAGATGCCAGAGCCACTCTCGGAGGGAGGCGATGTCCCCGGTATCGCCTATGTTGTTGGTGGTTGCTGGTTTCATACTGATCGGCCATACATGCAAGAAGGATAGAGAGATTTGAATATGAGAACTAAAGATTTAAAATCTCATTTTTACCATTAAATTAAAATTTCATGGACATATTTTTAGTATTATTATATAGTAATAAAGAAAAATGAAGGGTAAAGACTTCCAATTGTTGATTTTGATATTTAATAATAGTAATTAGTACCTTGCACCATTATATATATTTTAATATTTACAGCATATTTTATATGATAGTTTAAAAATATAATGAGTAAAAATGTTCGTATTTCATCAATCCAAAATTTTTTTCAAAATTCATGCTTATATGTATGGAAATATTATATAAACATAACAAGTAAATAAATTTTATTCATATACGTAAAATTTTGATAACATAAAGACTCAATTGAAGAAAAATAAATATATGTGTACGAAATATATGTATGTAGTATTGTCGAAATGGATTATAGATTATGAAATAGAGATAAATTAGTTAGGTACGGTTCTATACATGAAAGGTCAAAAAAAAAAAAACAATATTAAAAAGGAGAAACTTCAATACTCATTATAGTTTAAGAACGATAAAAATTAAATAAAATTTTCTAAATTAAGTTTGTGAAGCTTTTTTATAAAAAAAATAATCAATAAAAATTTTATTTTAAAATATAAATCAATATATTAATAGCATTTAATGAAAAAATTAAAAATATAATTTATAATTTAAATTTGATCTCAAATTTATTCAATGAAAGAATTTTATTAGAACTTTTAGTACAAATACCAATAAAAAAATATAAATTATTTTTAAAAATTTTTGTACATTTAATTTATATAACGAAATTTTTTAGTTTATATGTTTGAATTTTCATTTTTAATTTTCTAAGTAATTTTAATATAAAATTTTATGAATTTTACTTCAAAAATTTTGGTCTAAATTTTCTTGACATATTGTAAAACATCCAGTTATGAAGCTTTATTTTTTTTTATAGTTTATAATTTTATTATATTTTAATAGTCACATTATCAATATTTATAAGCAAATTTACATATGTCTTTAAGACAAATAATCATGTCATCATTTATAAAATATTAAAAAATTTGATAAAAATTTTATTAGACATGTAATTACTCTACTTTTATTACTCTATTTTTTTCTTTCCTCTCTTCTTAAATAATTAATTGATTTGAGGGTAGAAGCGTGTCTTGAAATCCTAACTCTAATGGATGCCATCTGATTTTATTATTTCTTCTAACAAATTCGATTAATCACCATTTCAGCTTCTGGTGAGCTCCATCCTCATCCGACCAAAAAATACGTAAACAAAATTTATATGTTCTCTAGATCTATCCATCTATAAATATTTTTTGAAGGATTCAAAATCTATAAAGTTAATAGAAAGACGAGAAAATTTCAAAATTCATAAAAAAAAAAAAGGACTGGGATCGTTGCTTTGAACCCAAATGAGTTTTCAAAGAGACTGGCCTACTCATGGCAGAAGTTAGGGCCAGACTAAGATATCCAGTTTCAAATGGGCCAAAAGTTTTGGGATCTCCATACTTCTGTTCCTAAATATTTTTCGTAACACACAGAAACTATTTGTTTGTCTTCTTCATTCAGATTTATTTGAAAGATGAATGTCACTTCAAATGTGTTTGGATCACACGTGGGCTGCACCCTTAATTGCTCAGGCATTCGTTTCAAGCATTGAGAAGGCGAGTTCACCTTTACCTGGCGTCAGGTATTGAGGTGCCAAAGTTGCTTGGTAAGTGTTTCTAGTTCATGGCAATGAGTAATGGTCAGGTCAACTATTCAAGGCTTTCCATGGCTTCATCACTCATTGTCCAAGTTCGAATATCTATTTCTTCCATGAAGAGGAACCTAAGTTGAGGAAATGACCATGTTCTGAATCCTTGCTTCACTCTAATGGATCTTGTTAGCAGTTTTAGCACCTGGAGCTGTGGGAGGTTTTCCAACATTCCCACTTTATCAGGATTCAGGATTTATTGCAGAAAGCGTTTGGAGACGCAACAAACATTTATGAGGTCCACGACACTCAGGCACGCGTGGAACACCAATTATTTTGTGATATCATGTGTCTGTAGATTAGGGAGACTACTTAAGGAAGAAGGAAGACGGTTCAAGCAAGGAGGATTTATCTTCAAGTACTTCAACAGAGATAAACTTTTTATGCTTTCAGGAATCCTAAAAACACATGTAGATCCTAGATCCGACACTCTTAAGACTTCACTTTGCTATTAGAAACCAGCAGGAAATTCACTTTGCTAAAAGGATATCTAGCTAGTGAATAAAAGACCAATCCATGTTCATGAGTATGGGAAGAGTTCCATCTATAGGTTGAGTCGGTGAACGCCCTCCCTGCATTGCCCCAGCAATGACAAAGCTGTGGCAGCAATATGCTTTGAGCTGAGCCCTGCCTCTTCAATTTGATCCGATTGAGATCCATGGTTAATGCATCTGTCAGGGAGCATCATAGGCCTCCACTGCACCAAGTAAGATTTTAGAAATAATTATATAAAATCTTCAACTGATTACTAGATTTAACCAATTGTTCAACTTAATGGAAGGTTATCAGCATCTGATACCTTAAGCTTTCCATCCAGCAGTCCGTTCAAGCCCAAGAAATGAGAAACATGGGTGCTGAACCCTCCAATTGATCCTTCTTCGGCAGTGATCAATATCTCATGTTCTTGAGCTAGCTGTCTTAGTAAATCTCCATCAATCGGTTTACAGAATCGAGCATCAGCCACTGTTGCGGAGATGCCAAGCATTTGTAGGAGCTCTGCCGCTTTCATACAACTTTGTACAATTGTTCCATAGCCCAAAATCGCCAACCTGTTTCCTTCCCTTAGTACTCTTCCCTTTCCAATCTGAATATATTCAAGATTTCGGTTAAGAAATTTGAACAGATGCTTTGAGTGATCATCTACAACTAAAAAGATTGGGTTGAATAAAATTAATACCTCCAAAGGTGCTCCTTTGTTGTTTTGTGGGAGAATGGAACCAATGCCATTTCCTCTGGGGTACCTAAAGCAACTAGGCCGATCATCTATAGCTGCTGCAGTTGCCACCATGTGCATCAGTTCAGTCTCGTTTGAGGGGGCCATGACCACCATATTAGGCAAACATGCCATATAAGTAGTGTCGAAGGCACCGCAATGGGTTGGTCCATCAGCACCCACCAGGCCGGCCCTGTCTATAGCAAATCTCACTGGAAGCTTTTGAAGATCTACATCATGAGCAACCTGCAATCAAAGTTCATTTGTTATTATAAAGCTTTTATATTTCTGTGAAATTTTAGTAGCCTTTGAGATTAAAATAAATCTAAGTAGCTAGGTATAATTTCAATTACCTGATCAAATCCTCTTTGTAGAAATGAAGAGTAAATGGCACAAAAAGGTTTAAGGCCTTCCGAAGCTAGACCAGCAGCAAAAGTAACAGCATGTTGTTCTGCTATACCAACATCAAAACATCTATCTGGGAATCGCTTTTGGAATAAATTGAGTCCTGTTCCTCCACCCATCGCAGCATGAATTCCTACAATTTTATCATCTTGCTCTGCTTCAGCTATTAAAGACTCTGCAAAGTACTGGGTATATGAAAGCGTTTCTGACTTGCTCTTCATTTGTTTTCCAGACTTTGGATCAAATTTCACAACGCCTAGAAGAAGAAGAAGAAGAAGGAGAAGAAAATCCCTGTTAGGCCTGCTCTATAAACACTGAACTTTTATGGAGAAAAATCTGTGATGACAGTCAATTTGAGTTGTACGTACCATGCATTTTGTCAGGTGCAATCTCAGCAGGAGCATAACCTTTTCCTTTCTCGGTAATGACATGAATGAGAACAGGCCCTGGGGATGGCATTGACCTAATTTCATTAAAGACATAAACAAGGTCTTCTACACTATGACCATCCACTGGACCAATGTAGTATAGTCCTAGTTCTTCAAATAGATTAGCCCTAGAACCACCCATCATTCCTCTCACACAGGAATCAAATTTACCAGCGATTTCATGTGTTTGCCCTCCTATTTGCTTTGTGATGCCCTGTGGATATTTTAAAGAACTTAATAAGCCCATTATGTAGAGTTATTTTAGCCTAAACCAAGTCATATTCTAGAGAACTATATATTGCTTTGAACAATTAATCACACCTTTGCAGCTTCGCGTAATTGACGAAATTCCCTGCTTGAATGCAGCTTAGTTAAAGATTTACTAAGAGCTCCAACAGGGGGAGCAGGACCATCGGCTGTGGCGGTAGGCAAGGAGACTTGCTCATTGTCGTTCAAGATGATGATAAGATTTGTGTCAAGATAACCTGCATTGTTCATTGCTTCATATGCCATTCCGGCAGTCATGGCTCCATCACCTATTACTGCAATTACATGATTGTTATTCCCTAACAAATCTCTTCCAATAGCCATCCCTGGAAACCAATAAAATAGCCCACATTAGCATGCGTCTCTGAGAAGAATTTTTGTTTGTTTATTATGTTATGCGAAGGTAGCCTAGAAAAGTAAAAAAAAAAAAAAAATTGTTAGTGCCGTAGCTCTGGAAGTCAAAAGAGCATTGATTGTGACCAACTTTAATTATTTATTTTTTCTTGGGTCCAACTCATTTTGCTACCAGTCCATCAGTTCTTTCCATTTTAACCTCCAAGACAAGGGCTTTGAAAAGTTACCTAATCCAGCTGAAATGCTAGTAGAACTATGGCCAGTTCCAAAGGCATCATGAATGCTCTCTTCCCTTTTTGGAAACCCTGCTAATCCACATGTTTGTCGAATCGAATGCATTCTTGATCTTCTGCCAGTTAAAATCTTATGAAGGTAGGCCTGTAAACACCAAAATTCAGTAAGAAAAGTTATATCCAAAAGTGAAATTTATTAACCAATTGATCCTATATGGACGGAACTGTGTATATAAGAAATAGTTATTTACCTGATGCCCAACATCCCAAATGATCTTATCCTCAGGAGTGTCGAAAACATGGTGAAGTGCCACCGTTAGCTCAGCCACCCCCAGGCTTGAACTCAGGTGCCCGCCTGTCTTTGACACCGTGTATACTAGCTCTTCTCGTAGTTCATTAGCTAACTTTCCAAGCTCCTATAGTTTTAATGAACAAATATATCATTCTCTTGGTTAAATCAATCGGAGCAAAAACTATTTTGTTTTAATTATTGTTTATAGCTTAATTAATATACCACAATGGAAAGATTCTTCATGTGAATAGGATTGTTTATGGTATCAAGAACTGGAGTGGATGGCTTTTCTCCTGAGAAATTTGGTTTGAAGTGTTCATTTTGTCTTGTTCGCTGGCCTCTTTTAATCATGGTGTTTCTGTCATTACTTGTATTTCCTGGTTGCTGCTGGGCTCTTGCTACTCCATTGAACCGACGCTGCAATGATCAGTACAAAAGAACTTAACTGTGGAGTGTCTAAATTCATCTATATATATATATATATATATATGTCACTAGAATCGGCAAATCAGGACTAAGAGAAGACAGACCTTGCAGTCACCTATGTGGCGAGTAGCAGTAAAATTATGCAAGCTTGAAATCGAATTATATCCATCCTGAGACTGCAGAAGAGGAAGAAAACTTGTCCTGAGAATGGAAGAAGCCATTGCCCAATTCTAAACAGGCCAAATTTAATAAAACTTAGCCGTTGCAATTGTATTGCTTTGGATGGAAGTATCAAATGTAATGGCTTTGATCAAAGAAGGAAATGCCTGGACGCTGGAAGTGATTGGTGAGCTAAGACCTGCCAGGTAATGGGGGGAATTTATAGGCTAAAGAACTCAGCTACATGTGGCGACTTCCCAGGAAAAGTGAGTGGGAAATTTATTTTCACGTGAAAAACTTTGGATGATGCGGATGGTCTAAGAATAGGCACTATTCCCCTTCGGGCCTTAATCATCCGTAACTTTGTTTTTGTTTTTTTATATGAGATTATGATATTTAAAATTTAAAATTATTAAATGTTATTTTTTAAAAATAATTACGTGGATTATATTTCAAATTTCATTTTAACCCTTTAAATTTGTCATTTCATCTACATCCCACAAATTACTAATTAGCATTTTTATATTTAAAATACCAAAAATTAAATTTTAATCATTATAATTAAAAATTCAAATGAACCTATTTAAGTAAAAACTTTAGATTACTAATTATTATTTAATTAGATTTTGAGTTCGATTTTTGCTCGTTAATAATCCACTTAATCAGTAAAATTTTGTTGATTCCTTTGGCTGACGCATAACTTGATCTGTTTGTATGTCACTTTCACAGGAGATTGTCTTTTCTGAAACGAATCCGAGACAATGAGTAGTTAGATTAAATAATATTATTATTTTTTAAAGGAATATTAAATAATATTATTAAAACATCACATTAAGCTCATTTTTAATGTGATTTTATATTCGAAGATAAGTAGGTTTAGATTTTTTTAATCATGCTTTATAAGAAAAGCGCCCAATTCATTAAAATTAAAATTTAATGCTTTATCGTTAATAAAGTCTTGATTTAATAGTAAAGAAGAGATTATAAATTTATAAAATTTTAAATTTAAAATTTATTATATATGAATTTAATTATTTAATTAAATTATAATTTAATAATAAAATAATTAATTATATAAATAAAATACTTAATTATTAAAGTAACTTAAAAAAAAATTAAGGCGGCACAATTCTAAATCATACCTAAAGGCTAAGAACAACAGTCAAAGACGAGGTACAGCTACGAGGTAACTGTTAGGTTCTTTTCTTTCATAGAATGTACAAAGTTTGAAAGACTGACAAATCGTGAATCACGTACGATTCTGGATTTTGACACTTTGACGTTCACAATACTTGCTCTATTTTTATGATATGACTAAGGATATTTTTATGTTTTAGACATAATAATTTTTTGGATGATTTTAATGATATATTTATTTACATAGGTTTAATTTAATGCATTTAAAATTTTATTTATGTTATGTTTTTCATAAAAATTAATCTTAAATTGATTAAAAAAAATAAAGTGAACTCCTTTATATACCAACTGAGCTAATCCTTATGCATATTATTTATTTGTTATTTTTTCTGTCTTAAATTATTAGTTTGATTTTTAAGATATTTAAAAAATATTGATTTAAATTTATTTAATATTAAATTTTTATTTTTTTTTCATAAATTTGATGTTTTGGAATTTTTAGTGTCAAAAAAATAAAAAATAATTTTAGAAGTATAAAAAAATTAAGATTTTCACATTTTCAAAAAGATGATAAAATTTTGACACACCAATAACAAAAAGTGAACAAAGAAAATGAGATTAAAAAATAATTATATTATTATTATTATTATTATTAAAGAAAAACATTGGAACGAAGAAGAAATTTCCTCGAATATCACTTATATCATGAGTTTGCACTTGGCACTTTGAATGAGAGTACTTGATCCAAGATACATTTTTCTTAGTAATTTCGTATAATATATATAGTAATGTCGTAATTTACCTTTCTACAATTAAAAATTAGGGTTTTTTTATTTAAGATATCATAATTTGAATTCTAATTATTGAAAATTTTTAATATTTTATTAATAAATCACATGATTATTGATAAAAAATATATGTATATTCTTTTAGTTACAATGAGAGTTGTTTTATATATATATATATATATATATATATATGATCCACTAAATTTTATTTTTGTAAGTATAGTTAATAGCACTCTTAATATTTTTATTTAGTTTTTCATTGAGAATATTTTATTTAGTGATCTCAAAATGAATACTCGAGTTTCATTTGTTTCGTGAAAATTGACTTTCAAAAATATTTTTTGAAAAATGTTCACATTGTTTGAAAAAAGTAAAGAAATATTTTTGGTTGTTTGACTATTTTCTAAAAGATTTATTTTTTTTCAAATAATATTGACATAACTATTAAAATATAAAAAATTATTTATAATTAAAATCTATTGAAATTATTTATTATTAAAATTATTAAAATTAAAAAATAATTATATTTTAATAATATTTAATATTAAAATATTATATTAAGATAAAATATTTAAAACAAAACTATTTATTATTTATGTAATATTTAAAAATATTTAAAATAGTGTTAATATTATTAAAATATTATTTTATTGATATAATAATATTAAAAAATAGTAATATTTTATTAAATTAAAATATTTGTACTATTAAAATAGTAATATTTTATATTGAAAGTATTTATTATTAAATCATCACAAAAATTATTTAATTATATTTATTATGAAAATAATAATATAATTATATTAATAATAAATATAAAATAAATATTTTTAATTGAAAAAATATTAACAAATTATTAAAATATTCATTTTATAAAAATAATAATATATTATTTATGATTAATTATTAAAATAATAAAATTTTAATTAATATATTATAATTTATTATTAAAATAATTAAATAATAATATTTATTATTGAGATATAAAAATATTTATTTTTAATAATATACAAAATAGAAATATTTAAAATTAAAATATCAAAAGCCTTTGAAAGTTAATATTTCATTTTTTAATTAAAATTAAATAAAAAATATTTTTAATATAATAATAATATTTCTTGTTGGATCAAATCAAGCTTAAACTTAAAATATTATATTCAAGGTTTTACATGAGTAAAATTATAAAAATATTTTTAATTTGAATTCTAATATTTTATTTTTTAAATAAAATTAAATAAAAATATTTTTTATTTATATAATAATATTTTGGATCAAATCAAATTAAGTTTAAACTTTAAAAAAATCATATTTAAGGTGTGATTTGAGTGGAATTGTACTCATAAGCTTGGTAAATAATCATATTCATAGACAATTATTTTTTAAAAATTATCTTCTTTCGAAAAGAAGAAAATAATTTTCAAAAAAATTATCTTATTTCTTGTTAATTAATAAGTATTTTTTTGTTGACTAATAAATTTTTTACTCAATAAATAACAAAAAATATATAAATTATTTTTACGAATCAATCGAACTTTAAACATATATCCGAACCATTTAAATGAAAAGAATTTAAATGATTAATGAAATCAGTAACATAGAATTTTATTATGCATCGTTTAAGTAATTGTACGACATGAAAATAATTTCCCATAGGCAAAGGTTCACGGAGTTGTAGGATCCAGATTCTCATCTTATGATATTTGATTCCCCAAATGAAAAAACAAAAATCCTCCATGGAAAAAAAAAAAAAAAAGCTGCTTTGCTAAGATCATGCAACACATAGACATGTGTATGTTGTTGATCTGGATTTGCTCCAAAAGTTTGGTTCAGATACGGCGTTGTCGTTAATAGCATGATCACGTGAATCTCATGCAATTATACTGATTAACAAAGCTCAAGAAAAAGATAGCCCACCGGCCACTTATCATTTGAGTTCCTCCAATTAAGTGAATGCCTGAAACACGCTTGTTATATGTCCAAACATTCATGCAGTAAGTAGATTCTGATCGTAGCCACAAACTGAAATATCATCATTTTTGCACGGGCTTATCCCTTTTCAACCGGTCCAAATTATGGAGGATTTTTTTCTTTGGCCTGATATTTTATGTTTTAAATGTGAACATTACATTCAAAAAAGTAGTTACCTCAATTAATTAAAATTTATTTTTTTGATGAAAAAATTTTAGATTTAAGTTTTATTAATAATTATTATTCGGATTATTTTGAATACATATTTTATAATTATTTATTTTAAATTATTAGATATAATACATCTTATTCTAATTTAAAAAATAATAATTTATTTACCTATAAATTTTTTTTTTTAAAAATGTGAACATTGCAAGAAAAAAAATGTCTAACTTTTTTTCTACTTATTTCTATGAGATGTTACTTTGACATACAAGTACAAAGAGTTCATTTTTAATGCATTTCTGTCATCTAATTCTCTCCATTTTCTGTTTAGTTCAAAACGTGTATGATTAAATTTGCTTCCATATTCTAATTTGAAACTTTCAAAATTGAAACTCAAGTTCTAACAGCTGAAATATATATTCCCTAAGAATATATATTTTTCAAAAATTGCATCAGATCATATCCATGATCTTTGTGCAATATATATTTCATATTTATTCATGATTTTTAAAATATAATTTTCCAATTTTACTCTTTTGGGTAAATTACATCATATATCCATAAGTTTGACAAATATTTCGCATTTAATATCCATAACCTTAGTTTAAAACTCAAAATTTGGAACTTTATGAAATATATCTCTTAGGGTCATGGATTTTAGTTTTCAAAATTACATTTTTTAAGTGGTTGCTGAAAATAAAATATTTTTAGAGCCAACATTGAAGCAAAACCCATAAGTTCCCTTTTTTTTTTTTTTTTTTTTGAGTTGGGAAAGGAAACAATTCAGATAAAAAAAAAGTTACAATTCAATTTTTGCTCAATTCTTTATGTGCAATGCGAATTACGATGTTTGAAAATATAATAAAAAATAAAATATCGATCTAACGAAAATTAAATTCATTATAATGTCAATAAATATTAATGAGCGTGGTATTAAAGAAATCATCCAATTTCATATTGACCTTAAATTTTCTGTCTACATAGTATATAACATTGGACTTGAAGTAACAAACATAACAATGTAAAAATAATATATTGTAATATATTTATAGTAAATAAAGAATAATCAATAATTAATAATAAAAAAATAAAATATATCAAACTTTATATATAAAACCCGATCATTAAAAAAATTTTACTATTAAATAATAGATATATAAAATTTTTCTTCAACTAAAATTAAAATTAAACAAAAAATAATTAATTAATTAATTAAATCTCATTAAATAAATGATTCAAAAAAATCTCTGAATTTATTTTTAAAAAATTTCAAATTTAATCTTTATTATTAAAAATATAAAATATTAAATCATGAACATACT